TATCATTTGTTAACATGACGCTTGTTCTTATAGATGTAATACATTTATTACCAATCTGAGAGTTTATCCGCTGGTCATTCGACATGACGAATGACTTCTGAAGTCTTAATTCAGCTCAAGACGCTGTAGATTCCCGTCAGTAACACTTTCGGTCCGCTAGTAAAACGTAGTTATATTAATCTGCGCTTGATTCCTCTTGAACCGGAACCGGATGTAAGTCCCAAAAAACTGAATTTTGGAAATGAAATTGAATGGTGAGAAGTGAATCTGAAATTATTCGAGAGCTACATTTTTAAAGGATAAAATACGGTTTCAAAGCAAATTAATTCATTTTCAGACTATAAAATTCAATTTCAATTTAGTGATGATCATTTTCAAACCAATAAATTGAATTTCAAAGGCTAATTCATATTCCGTTTTTAAAAGCATTTATTAAAGTTACAATTCAGATTCAATCCAAGCAATTCAAATTCAAATTTAACTTATTCAAATTCAGTTTCTGATGGCACAGATTTCTGCCCATATCACAGAGGAATCTGCTTATAATCTGAATGACAAATAATATTCTTTTGAATAATAAAAAAAAAGTAAGTCAAATTAACCAGGACCGTCACCTTTATTTTTATAGGCCAATGTACAAATGAGGTACTGCTATAGAATAATATATGTTATTACAGCACTAGGGAAGCTGCAGGCAAAAGCTACCAGTCTGAAAAGTCACTACTTACATTTAGGAAAATGTAAGTAGTGACTTTTTGAAGAATAAAACGTAAATATCATCCAAGTAAGTATGTACCTATAAGTTGTAAAATATTTGTTCTTGAATATGTTACTGACAATAAAATAATTCCAATGCACAGTGAATCCACAATCAAATCTGAAAAGACGTCTGTGACTCTGCTCAGTTGAAAGCCCTTCTGCACACTTCAAATCTGATTTATCTCTGAGCTAAAAAATCCTTATGTACTTGTCTGCTGCTTTCCATCTATGTCTTCTCCTTTGTGACTGAAATAGATTTAACTAAAGACCATCTTGCAGTGGGTTCATTCCAGCCATGACGTCCATCAAAATGTTTGACATTGTGACCCATGAACACTCAATAGTGATTGCTATTTTTTTTCCACCAGCCTAAACATAACTGTATATGTATGTGTGTAACATTATGGGTATTTATAACCATCTTCAAAAGCATGTCCTCATAACATCACTCATGTAATTTTAGGTTAAGAAAATAATGTGAGCACAGTTGTGTATCTTCAATTTCTGACCTAGAGACAGTTATTTTAGGGTGACTTATGACTGTGATAGGCTCGAGGACTTTGGCAGGTTGTTTTTTAATATATGTAAACTTTGTAGAATATATAGGTATAAATATATCACATAGGTATTTGTATCTTGGTATTCCGATAACAAGTAAATTAAGAGCTGCATTGCATACCAATATTTTAACCAATAAAGGGAGCTTATGTAGGGGAGAGCAGTGTGTCATGATTTGTAAGCTGAATCATCGTACAGTTGCCAAATTATTAAAAGATTTTAATAAATATGAAACAACAGTGTTGTGATTTTAACTACCCACAATAATTAGTTAATATGGGGAAAAAAAACAAAAAAACAACAACATTTCAACTTTTCTTATATAATGACATTATGTCTTTTAGAGACCTGAAATGTAAATGTGCCAGTCTTTAAAGGACAAGCTTCTGTTGTTTAAATGTACTATTGGTTATAAAGGAATAACGTGGCAGTATTTTTATATGTCATTAAAAAAAAAAAAAAAAAGACAAAAACATTTATTATTAACACAGTTCAGTGGGATACAGTGGGGTTAGGTTAATTGGCGATTCTAGGTGTAAATGTATGTGTGATTGGTTGTCTCTGTCTCTATGTGTTAGTCTTGTGACAGACTGGCTATGGATGGATGGATGGACATTGATCCATCCAACTGCATTAGTATCAATCCAGTACACGTGATGGTATCGATATTTGAATGTTGACATTCAGGACTAGTCTCAGTTTCACATATTTATTTACTCTTAAATTCCAAAAGCATTTTTTTTCTTTTCACTTCCCAAAGATTTACAGATGTG